TGCTGTAAACTTAACTTCCACCTTAAGTTCAAACCTAAAAGGGGCAGTATCCCAAGGAGGAGACTCCAAGTTAACAATTGTCTCAGTCTGATGAGACTGGAATGTTTGCTAAAGAGGATGAGTTATGAGATAGACCGAACTTCTCTCTCTCAGCAATTGTAAATGCAAAATTAAGGGTCTTCAGTCGAGGAAGTGTGGAAAAATAGAAGAAATAACAACCCTTTATTAAAAGATATATGTATGTTGGCAAAAAACAGTAACAGAACACAAAAAAACCTAGACAGTAGTACTAGAAAAACAAAAAGTCTGAATGAACACTTCTCTGTCCTTTAGCGCAGTCCTAATCATCGCCTGCAGGGGGCGCTGTTGGATCGCTGAAGGTGCAGGACCTGCAGTTCTCGGTCGTGGCCTGCAGGGGGCGCTGTTGGGCCCCAGCAGTCACCATGCGGGGAGAGGGGTCCGGAGGGAGCAGTCCTGGACCCCGGGAGGAGCTGAGGAGGAAACGGGGGACCCTTCCCTCAGTGAGAGGAAAAAAAAAAGGAAGGGAAACAGTCCACTCCCAGGGGACTCACCGCTGTCTCGGGTGACGGCATCTCAAAAACTGCCCCCTTCTCTCCTGCGGGCACACAAACTCTCCGATGAAACACAGCAGATCCAGGGAGCAGGATAGCCAGGCAAGTCAGAGCCAGCAGTCCAAGCTGACCAGGATGAGAAGCCAAGAAACCAGACCCCCCAGTCCCTCTCCCCAAAATGCCTGCACGCATCCCCCCATTCCCTCCGAGAAGCCAACAACGCAGTCTGCTCAGTTCCCCATCTGGATGGCCAGCTCTCCCAAGCCTCTGATGGCCCATTAGCCAGGAATTCAGCTAGATCTTTTGTAACCCTAATCGGCTCCCTTCCCCCTTTTCCACTCAAACTCCGTCTTTCCTACGGGAGGCGGGGGAGGGGCAGGGGAAAGACAAATTTTCCTGACTTCCTAACCTATAACAACAATCTTCAAACAGCCACAGTGAGAGACAGATTCCAGGCAAATCTTCAAACTAGGCTCGAAGATCATTCTATAGATCCCTCTCCTGAAACACTTTGGCAGCATATTAAAAATAGCATCCTGCAGTCCTCTGAAGAATCCTTAGGGTTCTCCTTCAAGAAGAACAAGGACTGGTTTGATGAAAACAATCAAGAGATCCAGGAATTGTTGAGGAAGAAGAGAACTACTCACCAAGCACACCTTGCACTGCCATCTTGTCATGTAAGAAAAGCAGCCTTTCGTCTTGCATGCAGCAAGCTCAAACAGAAACTCCGTGACATCCAGAACAAGTGGTGGATCAATCTAGCAGAAAAAACTCAATTATGCGCAGATATGGGTGATTACAGATAATTCTATGAAGCCCTGAAAACAGCATACGGGCCTACATGCCAGGTCTGAAGCCCTCTACTCAGCGCAGATGGTCAAACGCTTCTGACAGATAAAACCTCCATTCTGAATCGATAGTCTGAATATTTTCAGACTTTTTTCAGTACTAGCCATGTAGTGCAAGACTCAGCAATTCGGTACATTACGCAAAAACCGGTGAAGTATGAATTGGATATTGCCCCTACTATGGGAGAAACTCTTAAGGCCATACAGCAGGTGAAAACTGACAAAGCAGCTGGGGTTGATGGAATTCTACCTGAAGTCTGGAAGCACGGAGGCCAAGCGCTCCATGCTAAATTTCACAAATTTGTGGTGTGCTGTTGGGAACTAGGCAAACTACCTAGTTCGCCTATACAAAGTGAGGCAGTCATCATCACTTTGTATAAGAAGAAAGGAGATTAATCAGACTGTTCAAATTACCGCGGTATTACTCTGCTCTCCATTACTGGCAAAATCCTGGCAAGAATACTTTTGAACAGACTATACCCACTATAGCAGAAGGAATTCTACCTGAAAGCCAATGTGGTTTCAGAGCCAACAGGAGTACCACAGACATGGTATTTGTTCTCAGACAACTGCAAGAGAAGTGTAGGGAACAGAACAAAGGTCTCTGTGTAGCCTTTGTTGATCTCACCAAGGCTTTCAACACTGTGAGCAGAAAAGGTCTATGGCAGATTTTGGAACGTTTAGGATGTCCCCCCAAGTTCCTTAAAATTATCATCTTACTTCATGAGGATCAGCATGGCCAAGTCAGATATGGCAACACACTTTCTGAGCCCTTTTTAATTAAGAATGGTGTGAAACAAGGCTGCGTTCTCGCACCAACCGTATTCACAATCTTTTTCAGCATGATGCTCCGAAGGGCCACAGCAGACCTTGATGATCAGGACGGTATCTACATTCGATACCGTACTGATGGAAGCCTTTTCAACCTAAGGAGACTGAAGGCCCACACTAAGACCTTGAACCATCTTGTCCGAGAGCTGCTTTGCGCTGACGCCGCCGTCCTTGTCGCCCACACAGAAATAGCTCTGCAGCGTTTAACATCCTGCTTTGCAGAGGCTGCTGAGCTCTTTGGGCTGGAAGTCAGCTTAAAGAAGACAGAAGTTCTGTATCAACCTGCACCTCAGGAAGTCTTCCTTCATCCCCATATCACCATTGGCGAATCAGAGCTCAAATCAGTCCAGCAACTTAATTACCTAGGTAGCCTCATCTCCTCAGACGGTAAGATTGATGGAGAGATAGACAACAGGTTAGCAAAGGCATATAGTGCTTTCAGAAAACTCCATAAAAGGGTTTGGCAAAATAAACACCTGAAGAAAAGTACAAAAATCAGTGTTTACAGAGGCATTGTGCTATTCTTTTATATGGATCTGAATCATGGGTCATTTACTGCCACCACCTGAGACTCCTAGAACGCTTCCATCCACGCTGCCTCTGTACAATCCTAAACATCCACTGGTCAGATTATGTGACTAATACATCTGTTCTAGAACAGGCAGCAGTCACAAGTATTGAGGCCATGTTGCTGAGAACACAACTGCGTTGGGCAGGGCACGTCTCAAGGATGAAGGACTATCACCTCCCTAAGATCGTGCTCTGTGGTGAAGTTGCCACCGGCTGCCGCGAGAGAGGAACCCCGAAGAGAAGATTCAAGGACTCCCTGAAGCAATATCTCTGCCTTGGCCATATTGATCATGATCACTGGTCTACTCTGGCCTCCAGTTGGGAGGTCTGGAGACACACCATCTATAACGCTGCTGCTTCTTTTGAGAACGCACACAGGATCACTCTCAAGGAGAAAAGACAACGCAGAAAGAATCGTGTCTTGCTGATACCACCTAAGGAGTCTTTCTGCTGTGCCTTTTGCAACCGATCTTGTCTCTCTCATATTGACCTTTTTAGCCACCACCACGCTTGTAGCAAGTGTGGGCAGAGTCCTTCCCAAATCTTCGTTCGCGAAGCCTAGCCATGATGACGTGCTTCCACAAATATGTAAAGTTCATCACTGTGTAATATACCAAGGAAAGCAAGTCAAATTTCTAGTTGTGCTGATTGTAAGCATTTATTAAAGCAGCACACAAGAATCTTAACGGGCACTTCACATTAGTAGCAAGTGCAAATTTGGGAACAGAGTCTGATCTTGTGATTCTTACTCTGAATTGACCAAAAAGAACATTTTTTTTAAAAATACTCATAAATCCTATATTTTGCCATCTGTTCTGCTTTCTGAACTCCAGCTGAGTTCAGAATAGGTCTGAGTAGATCTCATATTGACTAAAGGGATCTTAGACATTCACTCAAATGAAGACAGTAGGGTTCAGTTCATTAGACTAAGTATAGACTTCAGTGCCATTCATGATGACCTAAGGGATCCTGCCAGGCCTCCACAAACTGCTGCAGAAGGGCACAGATCTTGTACAGTTCCTACATTGTATTTTCCCGTCTTGTGGGGGTATTTCAGGTGCACAGTCCCCTCTCTGTAGCCATCTAAGCTGAGATATCTTTATTTGTGAGGAAATACTTGTAACTTAGGTTATATAACTAAACATATCTTCAAACAGATGGCTCAGCAGCATCCATTTGTCTGATTTAGTGGGAATTGTATATGTTGTCCAAGTGGAGAGATGTGGTTAGCAAGCTCTAAAAATCTGCACTGTGGATGCAGAACTAGTGCAGAGCTATGTGACAAGTGTGCTTGGTAGTGGTTAAACTGGTAGAAGCAGAATAATTTACTGTGTAAGCATATCCAGAGAAGGTTAAAGTCTGCATTACAGTAAGAAGATAGTCATGAGATAGCTGTAAAGATTGTGAATGACACATGATCATAATGCTGTACAAGCAGAAACATATTTTCTAGCTGTAGAAAATAGGAAATAAGAGCAGGAATGTTCTTCTTGCCATAGTGTTCTTTTAGTCACAGCTTTATTCCTCCTTCTGGTTTTCAACTAACTCATTATTTTCCATGAGTGAGCAACTTTCAGAGCTTGTCGTCCATTAAGGTGATTAGCAATTGCCTCAATGTAATCTACTGGATCTGGAAAGAAAAATCTGTTTTGTGGCATGTCTTACATGGCTTTTGTTTGTGAGGGGTGGATATGCCTGAGCTGAAGCCTCATCAGAGATAGCAGGACATAGGATTCTTTTTAGGAAAACAGGATCTTGGTCTACGTCTATACCAGCAAGAATTAAAGAAAAATGGGGGCTTGGGCTCAGCCACTGTTCTTCATTGTCAAAGCTGTATAGCTGTTAGCATGCTTCCTGCAGTATTTTGGCAGATGCTGGTTATGATATTGCCAGACAATTCCTGAGCTTGGCTCAGAGGAGAGCACAGGCTGGGCATTTTTCCTGTAAGGCAGTTCCCTGCTCCTTGTCCTTCTCTGAGAGCAATTACACTCAGCATCTTGACCCTCCCTGGTACAGACCAGACATTTCCCTTCAGATCTTTGTTGCAATTCCTGTCAAAACATAGAAATGCTGACCTAAAATCAACTAGTGCTCAAGAAGAACATTTTACACAGCTTTTCAATTTAAAGATGTTGGGAGTACTGCATTTTAACCACATCTTTCTAACTCCTTATGCCAGGTGCTTTTCCTGCTACTGGTCACTCTCTTAAAGCCTAAAAACTCCAAGCGAGATCAACAGAGAAACATGTTTGCTTCTCCTCCCTGCTGGCAACAACAGCTTGCTTCCAAAGGAGAAATCTGAAAGTCCTCAGAAAGTGAGCTAGCTGTATGGGTAAGTCTAAAATGGTTAACCATTTCAAAGTTTACTGAAGTTCTGTTGTGTATTTTGGGTGGTCTTACTTGTATTAGGATCCCGCTTCAGAGGTATAAAAAAGTGAACCTACAGCTTTAGTGAAATAAAGAAAGTGCCTCTTCAAGATGAAAGGTGAAATTCAGGAGGACGATTTGTTATAAAAAGAAAAGAAAAGTGTTGTCAACAATTAAGCTGAAACCTCTGTTAAAGACACAGCTGGAAATTACGGGCAACTCTCTTCAAAATGCAGTTAGTTCCATAATTCCATTTCCCAGTACTAAAACTGCCACCCAAGAAAGCTGTTAGCCATCAGGATAGCAACTCAATGCTTACTGCCACTGTGACTGCAGTGGGTCCCCCTGTTCATGCAGGTCTTTTTGGGAGGAAAGGCTGAGGGAGCTATTACGTGGAATGAAGATAAAAAATTTCTGAGTGAGGTTGTGTTCTTTTCTGCCTAAACCTCAAGTAACCTGAAACTGGAAGGGGCTGTAATAGCAGTTCAGAAGCCTTGTCAGGATTTTCCCCAAGGCTTTTCTCCTTCTTGGACAGCGTATTGAAAAGTTTCAGATACAGAAAGAGAGTAAGATTCCCAGGACCTAATAATTGACTTAATTCCTATCCAGAGGATAGCCTATGGGTGCTTTCATACACCTGCACACCTGCAATTCTGTGACCAGGGGAGGGGGCACAGGGATTTAGGAGCAGATTTTGGGTAGTATATGGTATACAGTCTGTTCTTCAGCCCTACAAAGCTGAATTCTGAAGACTTTCTGATCGCTGAATGAGACATCTATCATAACATTGGCTGGAGACCCTCTTTTGTGAACAAGATATTATCTGAAGTTAGAGATGGCCTTTGAGAAAGATATTTGAGGTGTGCTCTCCAGAATAACACTTCATTGTTCTTCAGCACTCACTTCCATTTCCACTTGCATGGGTAAATCTGAGTTTCCTCTTGCTCATAAGAGGGTGCAGAAAGCTAGACTCTGGAATGAAGGGATTGAGAGACAAGTTTTTGGTGAGGATGTGATAAACATGGATAGAGATTTGCCCATCCCATCCCCCTGTTGGGGGACCCATAACAATAATAGGAGTTTTCCCCAGATCTTAAGAAGCTTGTACTTAATATTAAGTTAATTGTTATAGGGTTGAGAAAAAGGCACATTTTTTATTAAGTCTGTTTTTCCAGACTGAGAAGGCTCTGCAACTCTTCATCACATGCTCTTTGCTTGAATTTATTTTTAGTAATGTTCTCTTCATTTTTTTGTTCCTTTTTTTCCCCCAAATATCTTTTCATAAAACTAAACTTGAAAAGAAGGGAGATAAAATCAGTTCGATATTTGCAATGAACCATAAGACATTTCACTTTGTTACTTTAACTTAAAAATGGGCAAAGGTAAAGGAACAGAAAAAGGTCCTGGAATATAATGGATCTACGAGTCATCTCTAAATACCGCTTGCAAAAAAATTCCTTTCCATCAATCTCTTTTTAAATACAAAGGAGCAGAAGAAACATTTTCAGCTTTTTACTGGATTGAGTATGCAGGAGGAATATCATGGGAATAAGTTTAGAAATATTGAGAACTCAAATTCAGACTCTTTGATGTTAACAGCTTTTCTTGCCAAGAGAGAACATTTTTCTCTACTTAGGATAGAAATTCGCATTATAAACATATGCCGCTAAAGTGAGACTTTTCCTAATTCTGATGCATTTTAGACTAGAAGGTCTATCTGGAGCACAACACATATATTTTCTGCTTCCTGGTGATCAGGAGGAGTTAAATTAGACTAACCTCCAGGACCCCCTCTGCCCCCCATGAAATAAGTTGATGCATAAGAAAACAGAGCTCAGTGCTTTGGACCGTGGTCTGTTTGGTCCTGACAGTTATAGGATGTGGGTATGTGGGAAGAATAGTAGCCCTAGGGATGAAGGAGAAAAAACAGTGGACTCCACAGCCCCAGGAAAATAGTTTCTGCTGGGAGCTTAGGACGCCAGAGATCTGACATATTCGCAGTAGTTCAGGTAGATAGTTCAGCACAGAAGGACAGTATTTAAGGTCCTATTCTAAACACATCTGCCAGCTGAAAAAAGGAAAAGATAAGAAAGACATACATGGTCTTGCTGTAATGGATCTTGGTCTGCTGTGAATATGAGGAGGCTGTGGACATGCTATCTTTCAATACTGTCCACTGTGTAGCCTCATGTGGCTACTGCCAGCATGAAACTTATGTACCACCTTTTAGTGGTGTGTGATCCATGGCATGGAGGGACTGATGGGATGCTTGCTTGTTGTATTTTTTGGTGTCCTGTACACCAGACACTGTTTTAAGCAACATTTGAAAACATTTTTTGATGGTTCTATTTTTACAGTGTTTAAGTTTTCCTTGTTCGCTATACTAAAATCACATGAAAACTGAGCCACATACACCTGTTTCCAAACTGTGTGTGTGATGGTCTGCAATGTGAAATTGATAGCAGTCACTGTATCTTTCAATCTCAGTAACTCAGGCATCAGAAGAGCCAACTGTATTTTTTTCAAATTCTAACTAGATTTATAATGCACCTGGTAAATGTCTGCTCTTTCAGAAACATAATTTCACTTTTGCCAAAATGAACATTAGGAATACTAATGCAGGTCAAGTAGTTTACTGTTGGTATGAGCAACAGTGTAACTAACCCATAATTTGAATCTAAAATGAATAATGAACAGCTGCCGTTGTATGATTTAACACTCTTTAAACAAAACAGAAGGCAGTAAGGAACTCAAAGAAAAAGGTTCCTAAAAAGACAACAGAAAACAATGTTACAGCTGTGTTGCTTTTTTCACTTTCACTGTGACCCTGGAGGTGGGTGAGCAACTGTGGATGTGAGCAGAGCCTCAGATAAAAGGTTGGAAAACCTACAAAACCTGCTGAGAACAAAGAAGCCCTGAATCTCTGAGCAAACACATTTGAACTTAAGGAGCTGAATCTGAATAAAGTGTACCATCTCCAGTTTCCCACATCTCCTGGGACAGCTGTTCAAAAGCCTGGTAAGACACTGTGCAACAAGAGTGTGTAGAGTTAAACTTGCCACTGAACAACCTTTTCTCTGAACTGCACTGTTCTAGTCTGTTTTAAGCTGTGTCTAAATTAAACCAGTCTGTGCCAGAGATCAGTGTCTAGAAAGCTAAATTGAACTCTGGCTTTTTCATGGAGTTTATTTGTGTTTTGGGACAAATAATTTGGTCTGTGTTAAATTACCAATGATTGTTGGTAATTTAATAGAGGAAGCGAAGTATATGCTTTCCAAAGAGAAGTAGGAGCATTAGGGGCCTGCAGCTTCCTTGACCCAGGAAAGGACATGAATCTCTGTTGTGCAAGCACACTATTCACTTTCTGTTTTCCCTCTTTTGCCTTTACTTATCTCTAAAGCTGAATTTCAGATCATACTGGAGACTTTCAGTGAAATGAATTTGTATTATATACTTAACCTCAGATCAAAATGTCAAAACACTATAGGAAAGTAATCTTTGTTTTTAGCCACAGAGAGGAAATGCATATACTTGAAAAGTCTGTCCTTGTGAAATGTCTGCAGCGCTGTTGCATAGACAAGAAAAGTTAAGTACTCAGTGTTTTGTCCTGCAAAGACACTGCCATTGAATAATAATTAGTCCTTGTAAGGTAAATAAACCAAACTCTCCTTCCCTGCATACCAATAAGGTCTTTGTGACTTCAAGATGATGGGATGCAGCTCAAGGTGCCACTATATGCCACCCTAGCCTCTACAGTATGTGTCTGTCTGCAGTCCTGAAACACTTCTGTTCCTCTGTCTCTAACATGCTTCGGCTCAAAATTACATCATATTATCTCTGTTTTGCATTGTTATTTTATTAACCAGTGCTTTGTCCTTTTGCTACCACAAAAATACCAATGACGACTTCTGCTATGGAAAACTGACATTACAAAACAAGGGAGAAGAAGGTTGATACCAAAATTAAACTCAACAAAGCAACTGTATCAAAAAAAGGTATTCTCAATCTGATTGATAAAGACAACAGTCAGTGTTCATCTTTCTTCCAAATTTTTCACTTAACTAAGCTAAAACATGTATGGAGTACAACTTAGAATGTACAAATTTTACCCATCCCTACTGTCACTCAGCTATGGGTTTGGGGTTTGGAGTTGTACTTCTGGGAGAATAGTCCATGGGTCTGCCTGGGTAAGATCATTCATGGCTAGGCTTCGTGAACGAAGATTTGGGAAGGCTCTATCCACATTTGCTACAGGCACGCTGGTGGCTTATGAGGCCTGGGTAAGATAGAACATAGTTTAAGTACAAATGACAGAACTGGCACCTTAAGGAGCCTTTCATTTTTATGTAGATTTCTACTATAGCATTTCCTAATAACTATTTTTCAGTTAATTTTTCTACAACACCGTTACAGTTGTATCTTTAGTCTCTGATCATGAAACAAGAAAGGAATTTCCCTCTGTTGTGGTCTGTTCTGCTTGCTTTACCTCTTGTGACAACTGTAGTGAAATCACGAAGACTCGTTCTAGTGAGGTGAATGTGAGTTGTCCTGTAAAGCTTGGTTATAATACTTAAGTATTAAATAATAGTGCTTAGCACTTATGCAACTTAATGCCTTATAAGCTTCAAAGCACTTTGCAAGTCTTAACCAGTTAATCCCCACAGCAGCTCTGTGTGGTAGGTTTTGAAGGCCACACATTTAAAATCTCCCACGATACGAACTTGCCTCCATAGTAAGCCTATAGGAAAAAATATCTGCGCAGTTCTGTGCCTCAAGTCATGAGTGTTTGATTTTACTGCACTTTAATGTGCCTTACTTTCAGTAAATTAGTTCTGCTTTCTTATCCCATTCAAAATAAATCCATTGTACCCTGCAGCATGGCTCCGCATAGAGTATTATCACAATTTTGAGGATTTTTTTTAATTATTAAAACTCCTGGAAGAAAATAACAAGAAGACAATCTGATTTTTATTTAAGAAATCAAGTTTATACTGCTAATGATTGCAAAGACAGTGTATGGGAAAGGGTCAGAAAGGCACAAGCACTCAAGAGAATAACTACCATTTTTAGCAACTCTTTTGGAAATATAAGTTTTGTGATATTGAGATTGACTGGAAAATGGAAACAGTGTTGTTTGTGATACTACTACAGTGGACTAAAAGCAGTATTTCCATTTCATTTAGAAAATAATATGTTTTTCTAGCTCAAATTTTCTTTGAATTTTCATGTTCCAGAAAAAAAAAAGAAAATTGAATAGTTATTGCTTTAGCCTTTTCAGGTCTAAAATTTCCCATAAATGAGTGGAAATACTGCTTTTAGTGCACTGTAGTAGTATCATAAACACCAATGCTTCAATTTTGTTAGTTCTGCTGGAAAACTTTTTAAAACAACATTACAGTTTGACAGTAACATAATTCTATGGGAAGAGCAAATTCACCAACCTGGCCTGGTGAGGCCTTTTTCCAAGAGAAGCAGCCAGAAAGTAGAGTTTTTATCACAAAACTAAAAACAAAATCATCAGTTTTCCAGAATGTCCACACACTGCAGCTTTATTTATAAATGCATCATGATCCTTCCCCTCCAAGGCATCAGGCAACTTAATGCTTCCTTTTGCTTTCAGCTACAACTGTCTCTTTGTAAAGCTTGTAATTTGAGAGCTGATCCTTTGTAAGAAGACAGGTCTGTGATATCAGGAAGACTGACCTCAATTCCTTATTTCTTTACTGCTTCAACCTGGAAACTTTTGTTTCCTTGTTTTTCAATCTCTTTTTTTTTCTTGTTTGTTTTTATTCCTTTTAATTTTTTTTCCTCAACTTTGGAGAAAAATCACAAATAACCTTTGAAGGAATAATTAGCAATTTCTGTGACTCTATGGTAACAAACTTTACCTGATTGACTACTAAGTGGTTGTCTAAGGGTAAGGGTTTCAGACAGGCCGGGGAAAGAGAAATCTCCACGTTGAGAGATGATCAGGGATGAGCACAAGAGAGACCCTAGTGAGTAAAGGAATAAATGGATAGGAACACAGGAGGTGACATAATTAGCCAGTCTCACATGCTTGCCACTACAAAATTTCAAATGTTCCAAATTGAGCCTGGTGTTCTGCAGACAAGCTCATAATTAAGTACAGGGTTACAATACACCATGCACAAGAGGTCTGAATTAAGGTTTCATGGGCAGCCTTCTGGCTTTCACAACCTTTGGTCACTTAATTTAGTGACCTAAATAATTTTTAATATAGAAAAAATTGATTTTGATGAGGTCTTTTAATTGTTTAGGGAGCAATTGTTAAATTGGTATGGACTGCAATTTATTATGTAAATGTAGATGCATAGTACTTCAAAGGAAAAAGTACTCTATTTTCATTCTACCTAAATTTGTATACCATGATGAGACCTTAGTAAATTTGTTGGTTTTTTTTTACCTAAAGTGCATTAAGTTACATGACTAACATCTGTTTCAAACGCATCAGAAGCAGGAAGTGTGCAGAGGATCTATAGGAGCAATATATAATTGTAGTTTTAAGGAGTGTCCAGAAAAGATTAGGTAGTAAGGGGAAAGTCTGCATGAATTCACCACAGGAGAGTTTCAAGAGTCTACATCAGAATCTTTTTCTAAGAAGGTTGAACTTGAGGCAGTTATTTCAAACTGAAGAGCTTTTAAAATAAGTCAGTGATTATGTCAACAAGTAACACGGACCAGGTGGTATTCACACTTGAGGAATTTAACCTGAAGGAAGAATACAGCATATATAACCTCACCATGCAAAAAAGATATCTGAAAGAGTGTGGGAATGGCAGACCCTAATTTGTCTGCGCCAGCCAATTTAGCTGACTCTACATTACAGAATTAAATTAGCAGATGTACATGGAGGTATGGAATAACAGGGACAAGTCAACACAATGTAAAGGATATTCATGTCTTACAGATTAGTCAAAGCTCTTTGGAGGTGTTAAGATGGTTAATTGTTATTTAGCTGTCCGATACCTTGATAATGGAGACCAAAAGTTTCCTCATTACTCCATGGTAATGGAGTACTGTACTTTGGTACATTTATTAGGGTTGGTACAAATATTAGGTTTATGTGTCTTCAGTGTAGTTATTCTCATGTTATCCTTATAATCTTCCCCTGAATCCTTTAGTTCACATGGGATTGTCAAAATAAAAGGAATGCGTGTTCTTAAGTCACTTTAGCAGTTTTGAAAATCCCATCAATACATAGTTATGTTCCCCATAATCTTGTCTCCTGGTACCTTTAAAATTGATTTGAGCAAAAGACTATGTGTAACAGCGCATAGTTCAATACCTTCAGTACTCTGTGCAATGCTATGCTGAGTTCCCTCCCTTTCATACTAGCTGGTGTTGTTTCATCGCCTTCTTCTTTATCTGTCATCTCTTCTACGTAATTTATAAGGTCTTGGGACAGGACTATCTCTTTAGCTCATGTTTATAGTGCTAAATGTATCGGTGTCCTGGCTGGTGGTTTGTCTACTTGTCTCATAAACACCTGTAAGTATATGAAAGTATAGAAACAATCTGCCATTTTTAGACTGCTTTAATAGGAATCGGTGCTGGAGTAGGGGGAGAAAGCAATTGTTCACTCTCACGGCTCACAGGATAGGAAGACTTGCAGACAGGACCGAGTCACAAAGGTTAGCTTTGAGCTTAACCTTTAAATGAGCAAGGGCTAATCCTCCTTGGCTGCTTTTGCCACCAGCAGAGACAGCACGGCTCCCATCAACCTAGGTTTAGAGGACCTCGGGGACCCTGCTGCTCCCCCCCCTCCCCTCCCTTGACGGAGCATCCCACTGCCACCATCATCTCCATCAGCACCACCCTCCTCGCAGAAGACGCCCAAGGGATAAGACAAGACCGCAAGGAGAAGAGTTAACAGGGAATTGATAACCCGGCCTTCTTTTTTTTTTTTTTTTTTTTCCCCGCCCTCCTCCTGCTTGCGGGGATGTGAGTGATCGGGACCCGCGGATCGGGGTGGCCCCCGGCGGAGAGGCGCGGGGAGG